CCCCGGGAGGCTTTTGAAAGCGGGGAGCTTTATTTCCCTGCCTTTTTAGGTGCTGAGCAAGCCTCCAGAAGCCTCTTCAGGGCCAGCCAGTCAGCTGTTGGGCAGGGAGAGGAGCACAAAATGGCTGCCAGGCTCCCTTCTAGGTCTCCGCTTTTAGCTGTTTGCTGCTCTTTTTCCTGCAGTTCGGGGGCTACCAAGGCCTGGTAAGTGACTTTCTTTTATTTATTTTATGTTTCTGACCTCCCCCCCCCCATAGGAACACGTTAATTAATTTTCAATGCCTTCCTATGGGAAATTTAGTTTCGACTTATGAACCTTTCGACTTACGAACAGACTTCCAGAAGGGATTAAGTTTGTAAGTCGAGGGCCCACTGCTATATTGTTTGTCAAGGAAAGGAAAGCAGCTGACCTCACATCCTGCTTTCGGACTTCCCCGAGGTTACATTTGGTGTGAACAGAATGTTGGGATTAGACAGACCTTGAATCTGATCTAGCAGGATGGCAGCAGAGCCGGCCCAAGACTCGAGTGGAAATTGTCCCTTATACCAACACTGGCAAAATGGCCAATGCCCTCTGTTGCCATCTGATATCACTCTGGATCTGGGCCATTGCTTCCCAACTTTGGATCCTCAGATGCTGTTGGACACAACTTCCAGAAATCTTAGCCAGCACTGCTAGTTAGTGACTAAAAGTTTCTGGGGGCTTTATTAAGTGTAAACATCTGAGGACCTAAGGTTGGGAACCATTGATCTAGACGCAACTCATTCCCAGTTCATCCTGACTGAGGATCATGAAAGTATGACTTGGAGAGATAAAAACCCAGCTTTGCTTCCAAATTTCTTAGAAAGGGGGCCTTTTTGTTGTTTAAAGTTTTTGACCATCAATTTTCTGACCATTTCATTAATTCAGTTTTTACACCACCCTGGTATAAAATTTCCATTTTGTGTCTGGGGAAGTGAATTTTCTGGATATTAGATTTTTAGTGGATTTAATGAAAATATCACTGCCTCTACCCTTGGATTATAAACTGTCTCTTTAAAGTGCTCCAGCCGGGAGCCACTACTGGGGTAAACTGACTTGTAACTAGATAAGGTGTAATAAGACTGCCCGTCCCTGACTGCCCGGAAGGAAAATGAGCTGGTATTGACAGAGAAGCAGGAAGTGTTTTGAGTTGTGAAAGTAAAAGTCAGCATTCACGTGAATCAGTCGACAGCTATGGCAGCAAAGAGTTATTTGCAGAATCTCTACAACGAAGCAACCTGCCCACTCTGCCAGGACTATTTCAAGAATCCAGTGACCACACAGTGTGGCGCACAACTTCTGCCAAGCCTGCCTGACCCAGTGCTGGGGAGAATCTGCTACCGAGGGCTTCTGCCCTCTGTGCAGGCAAAATGTCCAGCAAACCTGCCTCATCCCAAGCAGGGTGCTGGCCAACATTGCAGAAAAACTGGCAGCTGAGGAGAGCCATCTTCAAGAAGGAAGAGAAGCAGAAGGAAAGTTGAGCATCTGTGAAAAACACCAGGAGCCCTTTAAACTCTTCTGCAGGGATGATGAAACCCTCATCTGTTTGGTGTGTGACAGATCCAAGGAACACCGAGACCATGAGGTGGTCCCCGTGGAAGAGGCGTCTGAGTACAAGGTAGGAGGAAATCCCCCCAGGTTTTGAAGGAGAGGGGAAAGGCCTCTAGCTATGGAGTCCTCCTGCTGGGTTCTCTGCAGGGAAGAGCTGTCCGGTTCCTCAAATGTGGGCAGCCTAATTGTCCTGTTATGCACATTTGTACGGCTGTAAATCAAGAATGAGGAACATCCTTTAGTTGAGGACTGAATGAAATGTTTGAAACATGGGGAGGGGCATATTCAACACAGTTCTTTTATGTCATCAAGTTGCTTCCAACTTACAATGGCCCCAAACAAGGTTTTCCCAAGTTAAAGCGATGGCCCCAAACAAGGTTTTTCCAAGTTAAAGCCGTGCCCTGCTTTACGATTACCCCATATAACAACAAATCCGCTTCACGACGATGTTATTGTGATTGCACAATGATGGTTTGAATGGGGGTTTCCGCTTTGCGATGATCTGTTCCCTGCTTTGGGAACCGTTTCGCTTTACACCGATCAAAAACAGCTGATTGTCGGGTTTCAAAATGGCTACCGGCTGAAGAAAATGGCCCCCCGCTGTTGCTTAGGGATGGATTCCAGTGAAAATGGCCATCCCTATGGAGGATCTTTGCTGGACGGTGAGTTTTCAGCCCATTGGAACGCATTGAACGGGTTTCAGTGCATTTCAATGGGCTTTTTAATTTCGCTTTACAACATTTTCGCTCTACAGCGATTTTGCTGGAACGAATTGATGTCGTAAAGCAAGGCACCACTGTATGTGAGATGTTCCTATGATTGGGTTCACACAAGAAACCTTGGAGTTTCTCTTAGTCCAAAAATTAATTGATATCTAACCACTGTGAAGGAGGCAAAGCACACCCTAAGCTTTTATTTTTGCCCCAGGATCGGATGGTTAGCTGCCTCGACAATCTGAAGAACAGGGAAGGAAACATTGTCGAAGAACTGGCTGCTGAGAAGAGCAATCTTCAAGAGGGAAGAGAAGCAGAAGGAAGGCCGAGAATCTGTGAAAAACACCAGGAGCCCTTTAGGCTCTTCTGCAGGGATGACGAAACCCTCGTCTGTTTGGTGTGCGACAGGTCCAAGGAACACCGACATCACGACGTGGTCCCCATGGAAGAGGCTTCAGACGAGTACAAGGTAGGAGGAAATCACCCCCCGGGTGTTGAAGGAGAGGGGAAAGCCTCTAGCTATGAATGTCTCCGCAACCTACTTCTGTGTAAGATAGAACAAAGTGGGATAGACAGAGCAACTAACTGCCAGATGGATTTGCAGCTGGCTGACCAACTATACTCAACATGTGGTCCTCAATGGAACCACTTCTACGTGGAGGGAAGTGTACATTAGGAAATCACCCCCCGGGTGTTGAAGGAGAGGGGAAAGCCTCTAGCTATGAATGTCTCCGCAACCTACTTCTGTGTAAGATAGAACAAAGTGGGATAGACAGAGCAACTAACTGCCAGATGGATTTGCAGCTGGCTGACCAACTATACTCAACATGTGGTCCTCAATGGAACCACTTCTACGTGGAGGGAAGTGTACATTGGGGGTCCCCAACATGTGGTCCTCAATGGAACCACTTCTTCGTGGAGGGAAGTGTGCATTGGGGATCCCTCAAGGTTCTGTCTTGGGCCCCGTGCTCTCCAGCATGAATGACCTGGATGAGGGGATTGAAGGAGGACTCATCAAATTTGCTGATGACACAAAGCTGGGGGGAATTGCTAATAATTTGGAAGATAGACGCAACCTTTAGAAGGATCTAAACAGATGTATTTGCGAAGGCTTTCACAGCCAGGATCTAATGGTTGTTGTGGGTTTTTTGGGCTCTTTGGCCGTGTTCTGAAGTTTGTTTTTCCTAACGTTTCGCCAGTCTCTGTGGCCGGCATCTTCAGAGGACAGCAAGGTTGGTTGAAGATGCCGGCCACAGAGACTGGCGAAACGTTAGGAAAAACAGCCTTCAGAACACGGCCAAAGAGCCTGAAAAACCCACAAAAACCATAGATCTAAACAGACGTGAACATTGGACCCTATCCAATAAGATGCAGTTCAGTGATGGGAAAAGTAAGGTCCTGCACTTAGGCAGGAGAAACCAGATGCTCGGGTACAGGATAGATGGTACCTGGCTCTAGAGTAGTACCTGTGAGAGGGATTTACGTAAGTGTCCTGGTGGACCACCGCCAGCAGTGTGCTGCAGCTGGCAAGAAAGCCTAGGCTGTATCAACGGGGATAGCATCAAGGTCACGGGAGGTGATAGTACCAACAGGGGGATAGCATCAAGGTCACAGGAGGTAATAGTATCCCTCTATACTGCGCCGGTGAGACTGTACTTGGGAGTTCTTGTGTCCAGTTCTGTTCACCACAAAACAAATAAGATATTGAGGGCCTGGAAGGGGTGCAGAGAAGAGCAACAAAGATAAGGGAACTGGAGGCTAAATCTTATGAAGAACAACTAAAAGAACTAAGTATGTCTAGCTGAATGAATAGGAGACTTAGGGGAGACAGGAGTCTTCCAATAGCTGAAGGTTTGCCACAGGGAAGAGGGCATCGATGTATTCTCCTTTGAGCCTGTCGGTGGGACAAGAACCAATGGTTGGAAAATCATTGGAGGGAGATCCAACCTGGAAATAAGGAGGAATTTCCTGACGGTGAGAACCATTAAGCAGTGGAACACCTTGCCTCCCGTTGCTCTGGGTGCCCCCTCGCTGGAGGTTTCCAAGAAAAGATTGGACAGCCATCTGTCTGGGATGGGATGAGGTCTCCTCCCTTGGGCAGGGGGTTGGACTAGAAGACCTCCAAGGTCCCTTCCAACCCTACGAGGATTCTATGATTCTCTTGTCATTCTACTCCAGTTCCTCAAATCTGGGGCAGCCTAATTGTCCTCTTACGCACATTTGTATAGACGTAAATCAAGAATGAGGAACATCCTTTAGCCGAAGACTGAATGAAATGTTTGAGACATTGGGAGGGGCACATTCAATACGGTTCTTTTGTGTCAAGTTGCTTCCAACTTATGATGGCCCCAAACAAGGTTTTTCCAAGTTATGTGAGATGTTTCCATGATTGGGTTCACACAAGAAACCTTGGAGTTTCTCTTAGTCCAAAAATTATTGACATCTAACCACTATGAAGGAGTCAAAGCACATCCTAAGCTTTTATTTTCTCCCCAGGATCGGATGGTTAGCTGCCTAGACAGTCTGAAGAACAGGAAAGCGAAAATTTTGTCATCTGAAGCAGACGTGGCTAATGAAAGTCAAAATATGCTTGTAAGTACCATTATTACTATGGAGCAGCTTGAACATAAACCAAACCACAAAAATGGTTTTCTGTTGCCAGGTCAGATTGTCTGACACCTGAACCTCTCCCCCTAAGAGCCTTACAGAACTTTATAGACCTCTAGTGGAAAATCAGCAGCCTGTATTCATCACAGCTCGCATTTATCCAAGTTAAGCATTAATTCCAGAATGACAACCATTTCCAATCCTATCAAAATTCATCTGGATGTCAAGATGTAAGTCTTTACATTGTTACAATAATTCAAGGCAACATCAGCTTGTCTAATTTTACAAGCTTTATTCGTCTACATTGCTTCTACCTTCCATAAGCAAAAACATACTTCAAAAAGGAACAAGTCAAAATGAATTGAAAACATGGTTACAGTTGTGAGAAAAACTATAGCCATAAATGTTGGAACAGAAATTCATCCTTGCAACTTGTGAAATACTGTGACTACCATCCAGAATTCTCATACCTATGAAAAGTTGCAAAGAAAGGTACAATTGGAAGCAAAACTGAAGTCATATGCAGTATCTAAATCAAGTTACAGCGGTGCCCCGTATAGCGACGTTAATCCGTTCCAGGATTAACATCGCTATACGGAAACATCGTAAAGCGAAATTAAAAAGCCCATTGAAACGCATTAAAACCTGGTTATTGCGTTCCAATGGACTAAAAACTGGCAGGGACAGGGTGGGTGGGGGATCCAAACTAGGGAGTCAAGAGGCAAAAGGAACAATAGGTAACTTTGGTCTTGGAGTTCAGAATGAAGCAGGGCAAAGGCTAATAGAGTTTTGTCAAGAGAACAAGCTGGTCATCACAAACTCCAACAACACAAGAGGCGACTCTACACATGGACATCACCAGATGGGCAATACCGAAATCTGATTGATTATATTCTCTGCAGCCAAAGAGATGCTCTATACAGTCAGCAAAAACAAGACCTGGAGCTGATTGTGGCTCTGATCATCAGCTTTTTATAGCAAAACTCAAGCTTAAACTGAAGAAAGTAGGAAACACCACTGGGCTAATCAGGTATAATCTAGACCAAATCCGATATGAATACACAGTGGAAATGAAGAACAGATTTAAGTAACTAGATTTGATGCACAGAGTGCCTGAAGAACTATGGATGGAGGCTAATAACATTGTACAGGAGGCAGCAACAAAAACCAT